TTTTTTTAGTTTGTTTCTTACCGTTATGCAAAAAGTGTGTTATTATACTGCAGAAAGACTAGGAATTGTGTTTTAGTGCTTTCTTGTTGTGAACAGGCTCCTTTACAAGCGTGCCGATCAGTCGTTAAATTCAACAAACTGAATGAATAAAATGTTGTTAGATACAAATGTGAACGTGTCTGAAAACAAATCAAATCGTCCACAAGCAGATTCAAAAAATTAATGTTGTTGATCAGAACTTGAACAATGAGTTGAGCTAGATGCAGCGTTCTCACTCTATGGAAAATTTGGTTTACCGTCGCATGATTCAATTGTATACGTCTTTTTAAGAAAAAAATTCACATACATTCTTCGCAGACCGTAGCTAGTACAGATCATAAGATCTGTTTCATTTATTAATCCGATGATTGAATGTTATTTCGAGCATAATTTGGCAATCTCACGGGAAAATTTTATGAGATTGCGTATCGACTCATCTTAGAAAAACGTGTCGTTTAATAAATCAAATACTGCAGTGATCTCCGTCAATAAATGAAACTTTTCATTTCCTCAGAAATTCGGCGGTTTTTCTGATCAAGAATATGATGCAATACATCGTTGATTTATAGTCATCTGATGAATTATTGTCGGATAATTCCAAAGCGCGTTGGTATTAAAGCCAAAAAAGTGATGCAAATTTAGATGAATTCATTGAATTCGATCTCCACTGGACAACGAATGCACACAAAAGTGCTCTTAAATAAGTCCTGATTAATGAGACGGCCTAGGCAGTTGTAGAGCAGGATTGCATCGATTAATATGGTGCTGTTCATTTTCAAATTTGTTAGAATAGTTGCTGGGTTGATTGTTTTGAGAGTTTTTATGTGCCTTACGTCTGTAAGTTTTTATAGGATTTGCTAGCGATTCATCCTGAAAAAACACCATTCAGTAATGGAACGCATATTCTTCACAATCGTCGCATTATCACTGCTGATCTTCCATCAAGGTACGTTCATCGAGATGAAGATAAATCTTACGATTAATCAGTATGACATAATTTGCTAAATTCCGCTCAAAATCTCATCGGAAAAGACGAATTTCCAAAAAAAAANAAAAAAAAACTTCAATACTTCAATAACAGTTTTAAATGATCGAACAACGCTAACAAATTATTCGGAAGGCATTGCTTTGTCGATCAGTCATTGTTAATGTGAAACAAGGTAACGCACAAGATGGAATTGCTACAAGTGAAAAATCAGATGCTTCTGAGAGGCTGAATCTTGTTTTTATAGCCTATACAGCCGATTCGGACGATATCTCCGACTCTGATTCACCACAAAAGAAGGACGAGGCTGCAAAAAACGAAGATTCGGGCGGTGAACGTGGTTCGAGTATCCAGGACACAATGTCGAAACTAGGAAATGTCACGTTTAAGCCAAGGAAGTAGTGAGTATTACAATCTATCATGGTGCAATATCAAAAGTGTGATGGAGAAAGCCGTAAAGAGCTGAACGGCTGGAGAAGTTCCACAGTTTATCTAACTATAAGTCGCCAGCATAATTCAATTTGTTGTGCAAGGTTGCATATACCATTTCACCTGCTCATCTATTTTCCACATTGGCAAACATTAATGATTGTGTAGTTAATTATGCAAAATTCCACTCATTTCTCATCTTTTCAGTCTAAGATTTGGGTTCAAGCTATGATGTGTCACCGAGAAGCAGAGGAGAAGATTTACTGGGAAAATGTCGACGTGGCTGAAATTTTCAGCATTTCGTCGTGTTGATACTTCTTAACTGACACAAATCCATCTATTACTGTTCTTAAGCAATAAAATTTTCTTCGATGTTGTCGATCGATGCATCCTGTTGCGTAGTTGCATCTTCCTCAGACCGTTACGTCATCACATTTCTAATCTATGATAATCCGACTGCGACGTGCTTTCATATATGCTACCACCACTGGTAATACTAGGTTTTTGACGCGTAAAAGAATCACTGCGTCTCATCAGTACTGGCTTATTGCTGCCAAATGCGAAGCCTGGAATGGTACTGACAAATATTCAATGATCTGATGAGGTTTCTGTTTTGCCCAATCAAGTAGTTTTTATTTCGAGTTTTGTTTAAACTGCTGAGCGATATGGCAGCATCTAACTTCATTCAGTATGCCACTTCATCTTCATTGCTTACTTATGATAAATATTTGATTATTTAACAAATGTCGACGACATGATGCGCTGAAGGAAAATAGCATTTGGAGTTGCTGTGAAGCCGCTCAATTCAACAAAGTCGATTTTATTTCACAGTTATCCAAAATCTTTGGTGTGATGCTGACAGCATCATGAGAAGAATTGGAATGGTAGGCGAAAGTGCATTCGCTTATGCATAGAGTGGTAATGAGATTAAACGCTTCTGTTAAGCTCTTTCAAACCAACGTTTTTTGTTATTGACTCTTTGTCAAGACGGTTATGCACTATTGAGTGTCATCCATGACATGGAGTAAAAGAAACCGGAGTTGATGTGAAGAAAGGTGTCAAACAAGAGAATTTCGATCACTTTCAGTCAAACACCATCCGCTATATACTATCAAGAGATCATCTCACACACCAACTGGGAATAACACGTTCTTCGAATTAAAGTGTGATGACATTTTGACGACATTTTCCTGTTATGAAACTGAGTATGGAACGAATAGTTAACTGAATATGTGAAATTCGGTCACATGTTGTCGAAGAAAATAAAGTCATGCAGTTCTTAAGCTAACATCACTATCGAACAATGAATTTGCAAGAGAACATGACAATAAGCTGATCAGGAAAATGTCAGCCAATGAATCACATAAATTTTCTTGACTTTTAGTAGGTTGTTGAATTTGACTGCAAATCTTGAAGGCAGACTATAAGTTTCGACAACATAAGATGCAGTAATTGTGTGATGTAATTATCATTCATTGCGAAGATAAAACAATATCGAGTACCTTTGTTGGTGTTATACAAAAGTTCAGAGGAAATTAAAAAGCAATACAGAACAGAATATTTTCTACGCAAAAAAAGTGGGATTAGCATACGAGAATGAGATTCGTTCAGTGAATTTATGGACATGATGAACAGCGGCATTTATTCATGAATTAATACGCATTAACACAGATGTGTGTTCATCGAAGAGAAAAAGTGGTTGCAGATAAAATGATAATTTCAAATAAATTCATCGCTAGTACCACGCACTTTTCATTCAACAACTACAAATAGCTGTCTGTCTGTTGCGAGTTGTCGAAGTGTGAGCAGTAAGTGATGAATCGCACCGTGCTCATTGTCGTCCTGATCTCACTCCTCCTGCTTCATCAAGGTATGTCGAATAAAGCTGGTCATAGTATTTTAATGCAACCATCAATTCTTTAGGCTAGAACAACTCTAGATAGTTTTTGCTAAGGAATTGGCAGATGTTTTCACGGATGATTAAGCCAATTCAGACGAAAGCAGTCCATGCTAGTGAATGTTATAGCGAGTGAGAAAATTTTAAGTGATTATTGTGCTTGAAGCGAGAGAGTTTCTTATGCGGTGAATGCTTCGAAGTGATCATCCTGAATTGATGATAACAATCAGTTTCACAGACTGTTTCAAAAATTTCAATTATTAATGACATGGTAAACAAAAGAATTGATTTGCAGCATGTATGGGAGAACCGTTGTTATCAGTAAGGCAACCAAGAGACGTTGATAAGGAAGAAAAGAAGTTGGAATCGAATCAATCCCAAACTTGGAAGGACACAATAACGGACAAATTGGGTGGTGCCAAGAAATGGTGAATACTGCATTAGATTTTAATGAATTTCTGGTAGACATACATGATCCATGGTCATTTCCCTTATGAAAAGCCCCTTCAAACAAATGGAGCATTAGATCTCATATTATTGAGTCACTAAATGCTGATATGAATCGGCACATTTAATTGCTTATTTCTGCAAAGCTTGAATTGTGAAGGCCAAATTTGTATCACAGCCATAGTCAGTGGATGTACTTGTGCCGCTCAGCCACTTGGTGATCAGAAAACGGATTGCAGTTGTTTGATCAGATTCAGATGTGAACGCAGCTTACCAAATAAGCATCATCATGATACTTCAATGAATCTACAGTGCTCCACAAGTACATGCAGTACTTTGTCTGCAGCAATGCAGATGAGAGGAAGAATGATAATAACGATATCTTGATTCAGGTTTTCGGATAAAATGGGTTCTATCAAGAAAAGAATAAGTGGTGAATAAATATGGAACGTCTACTCTGATGGGTTGCAAGATTATTCATCGCCGATGATTTTACTCTTCAATTGTCGATGAAAGTTGTTACTCATAGAATGTATTACGTCCGTCAAACATGTTTTTCTTTTCGTTCAAGCCATTTTTAAGTATAATTCTTCAGTAAATCTATTCATTTATGCGGATATTGCCCCAATAATTTTTTTCGTAAACACTTTACAAAAGGCTTTTGTAATCTTCTGATCCAATCGATTTTGTTATTATCAAAAGTGGATATGTGAGGGATGTTTATCGTTTAAACGCATCGCTACTGGTATGCTTAAGTAAATAGTGGTAATAACGGAATAAAACTGATATTTGTCTAAAACGTTATCCAAAGTATACATGTGAACAATTGATCCATCATATGAATGAATTTTTCCTGCAAGACAGTTCTATAAAAAATAGAATGGGGCTGTTAAGGTTTCACATGGAGTCTTCAACGATCCAGTTTTTGCGTGGTGCGCAATTAAAGACGATGTTTTCCAAAGAATTTCCAGCCGAAAACGGCTGATGCTCTAGTATCGATCCTATCAGATAGAAAATGATGCTATTAATGTATGGAATTTTTATATTATCAGGAATATTAGAGTAACGTTTCGCAGATGCTACAGAAATATTGCTGTTACAGGGCGAATGAGAGCGATAGTTTGGGCACATGGGATTGAGCTGATGTGATAATCAAATTGAATTTTTGTAAGTAAATCATGCTAGGCGCTGAAGAATAAATTTTCAGAAGATGGCTTTGCAATTGGTGATATTGAATCGTTTCAAGAGAAATGTCGAATGTTACTCCTGAAATAGAAGCATAATACATAATGAACGTAATTGGGACTTTAAAAACATCACTTAAAAGTGTAACTCACCGTAACCATTATTCTTCAAAGTACATCCATATAATTTTGCTCGATCAATCGAAAATAATAATCCATCAAATGCGATAAACCACTTTTCAATCTGTTGTCATTCCCAAAATGTCATTATGAGCACCAACGATAAGTACATGACAAAATGACATGACATTTCTGTTAAAAAGCACGAAAACTGCAAATGGTTCATCACAGGAATTTTTTCTAAATTTTCAACTATTATTTCTGCGCATTCATACTTTTCATAAGTCATCTTCACTGTTCAGTTCAATCAGAAAATTCAAAACCTCTAGTTATTAATTTCGTATTAAAATCAAAATCTTATTGTCATTATCAATCGCAGTTGAGATATGAATTAATTTAGTTAACAGGCTGCAGGATTTTTTAGAACAAAATTTTAAGAGGCTTCTATGCTCGGATACTGCTCCATTTGCAACATCGAAATATTTTTCACAATTTTTTTGTGAAATGTCATAATGACAATAAGGTGCACAATAATTTTCTTAATCATTCAAACTTCCCCATCTGTCATTTTGATTTTCC